CCCGTGGCTCTGGGAGCTGGTGGAGGAGCACGTGCCGCTCCCGGAGCGGCCCGAAGTGAAGAGGATTCTGGGGGAGACGATGGTGGACCTGAGCCTGGAGCTGCGGGCGGAGGTGGGGCGAGTGGGAAGGTGGGCACACCCCTGGCCGGACCCCTGACTCGGGTGATTTCCCATCTACTCTGGGTTCTGGCTCGGCCGGGTAACTCGAGGTCCTGTGGGACATCCCCCGCCCTCTCTTGTTTAACTCCCTCCCCCCCCTTCTCACCTCCCTCACTGCCTTCCCCGTCGCAAGGTGTCTCAGCTCTCCTTGCAGGTGGCGATGTTGCGGTCTCTGCTCCAAGAGGCGCGGTCCTCCCAAGCCCCCGGCTCCCGCCCCACCTCCGACCCCTCCTCCCTCCTGGCACCGCCGCCCCTGCTGAGAGACCTCGTGCGCCGGGAGCTGCGGCAGCTGCTCCAGTGTCTCCGCCAGAAGGCCATCTATGAGGGCAGGTGGGAAGCTCACACCTGGGGTTGGGCCCGGTCCCCAGAACCCAGATGGGCTCGCTCTAACTCTGACCAGGGGCCGTGCTTCCGGCTTCGGGACAGGTGGGAGAGCCGAGTCATCTGAACCCACGGAGCTGATGACTTCGTTGCCTCCTCTGGCTCAGGCAGTGCAGAGTAGGGTTGCCTCTCCTGTGGTTCCCTGGAAGGAGACCCTCAGGTTTCTTCATGTGCGCGTTCTGCAGGGACCAGACCCAAGCGTGGGTCCAGTACAGCCCCAGGGTGCTGCGCTTTGCCTTGGAGGAGCCCCGGAGTGGTTTTCCAGCACAGGAGGCGTTCCAGGTGCCAGCTGGTGAACCCAGGTAACTGGGGACAGGAGAGGAGGGAATCTGTTCCTGCTTGGCAGAGGGTCCCACCCGGCTCCGTACAGGAGCTCCTGCTCTGAGGCTGGACACTTCCACAGCCACTGGTGCTGGGCATGAGCACATGAGGGCTGCAGAGGCCCAGGAGACACCTGCCCAGCCTGGGGGCCCACAAGGCCTCCTGGAGAAGGTGACTGGTTTGACCTGGGTCTTAGCAGATGAAAGAGAGAAGAGCTTTTCAGGAAGAGGGGACACTATATGCAAACATGGGTGGGAGGAAAGGAGGCCGTGTCCAGGAATCACTTGTCCCTCAGGCTGACAGAACAGGAGGAGGGCTGGGAGGGAATGAGATAAGTGAGCAGGGGCATGCTCATAAGAAATGAATGGCAGCAACTCATGTTTAATTCTCACAACCCTGTGAGGTAAGTGATGGCCCCGTTTTGCAGATGAGGAAACGAAAGCTCAGAAAGAAGCATCCATTTGCCCAAGGGTGGCAGAGCCCATTTGCAAACCTAGATTCCAGAGCTCCTCCTCCTTGTACTGTATCATATTGCTTTTATGAGAAAAGACACAGAGTCGTGTAAGAGCAGTGGCATTGTGTCCTGAAGGCCTCGGGCGAGGCAGCGTGGGGTGATACTGACTTCATCTCCCAGCAGCAGTCACAGAGACCTCAGTCTCATCAAGGACCAGCTGGACCTGTCCAACATTGACGGGGTTGCCAGACACCTGCGGTGAGGCCCCCGGGTGTGTAGTGGGGGTGGAAATAGGGAGGGGACTGGATAGATCTGGAAGTCCTGGGACCAGGAGAGCGGAGAGGAAGGCAGCATACCTGAGGGGTAGGGGGGACGGCCCACCAGAGTAAGGCTGAGAGATGGAGGGGGCAGGTTGCTGCCAGGAAGTGTCCAAGTAGGAATGCTAGCAGGGGCCATGGCCCGAGGATTTGTACCTTGAGGTGAAGTGGGGGAAACCACAGAAGAGTTTAAACAGGGGAAGGGCTGTGATGTGGGGGAGAACAGAGGCAAGAGGTGTCGCAGGCCCGGTGCAGTGGTACAGAAGAAATGACAGTGTCTGTCCGGGTGGGCGCTGTGAGGTACGCAAGGAGAGGACACGTTCTTCCCAGGAAGAGGCTTGGCAGGGGCTGGAGGGCCGTGCTGGGCAGCAGAGGGCAAGGTGGGCTGAGAAGGGAGGGCCTGGAGGGGGCTTGTGGTGGGGCTGGAGGTTGGGGCTGTGTGGAGGGTTGCGCTGAGCCCCGGTCCTGCGGCACTGGCTCCGGCTGCTGCACTCCCACGTGTCCCAGGGCCCTCCTGGAGGAGGAGTGTCACACCTTGGAGAGGGAGATCCCCGTCCTGCAGGTGAGCTGCAGCCCCGCCCCACCCCAGCCTTTCTGCTGAGTGTAGACAGCCACCTCTCACCTGGTGTCTGAGCCCGTGTACATGTGTGTCTGTGTGCGTACATGCATATAAAGGCTGCGTGAGTCCTGTAGCCACTTCTCACGTGTGCACTTCTTGTGTGTGTGAATCCAGAAGCCCGAGATTCAGGTTGAGCCCCTAAGTCCAAGGTCAGCACTTTTCAATCAACCTGCTGGATTTGCTCTCCAATCTTTTGCCTTTTTCCCAAGTCTGGGTCTGGTCCAACCACCCCCTTGTCAAGCTGGGCTTCTCAGGGGGGCGTGGGTAGTGTTCTCCTGGGGGCTGCCCTCAGGTGGTGGAGACGAGGGTGTGGCATGGGCTGCTTCTGGGCCCTGCCAAGATCTTGCTTGGCCTCTGCCTCCTGCCCTGGCCGATCCTACCCCTGCTGTGAAGGGGGGGGGCCCTGAGCCAGCTCTCCCTACAGCGCTGCCTGGAGGCGTGCACAGGGGCACGCCAGGCCTCCGAAGCAACCCTAGAGCCCACCCTGGCAGGTGAGGAACCTGAGCAGGCCCCCGAGTCCCCAGCTTCCTCCCCACGCCCCACCCAGGCAGACCCTAGAAGAGCTGGGTGCCGCGCCTCAGGCATTCCTCTCCTCCAGAGCTACAGGAGCAGAAGGCGGCCATGCAACAGGAGCTGCAGGCACCTCTGCGGCCTTCCTGTGCCTCCCCCAGCCACAGGTACGCCAGAGCAGACGGACGGCCTCACAGGGTGGGCAAAGGGTCCGGCGATGGCCCTCTCATGGCCACTCCTTGTCCAGGCAGCAGCCCTTGGGGTCCTCCAGCCAGGGCCTCAGATCCTTGCCTTGCCTCCGCGGAGCTGCTGGAGTTTGGGCAAGGCCTCTCCAGTGCCACCTACCTGCTCCTCCTCTGGAACGCAGGCCTCCAGGCCTGGCTGCCACCTGCCGCTGGGGACGGAAGCTCCAGTGCAGCCCCAGGAAAAGGCCAGCTTCCACCTCAGTGTCCAGTGCGGTGCCCCAGGCCCCGACCTGACAGCTGGCCACAAAGTAGGCTTTGGCTTCTGGACCTCGCCCCGCCTGCTACTGCCACCTCTCAGTTGCCATGGCCTCGCCTGCTTCAGATCTTGTCTTGGATAGGACCCCAAGGCTGTCCGTCTGTCTGACCCTCCTCCCACCCCCTTGCCAAGTCCCTGGTATCTGGCCCTGACCATCGCGGCCTTTGGCCTCTCTCCTCCCAGGCTTTCACGGAGCCTGGGTGTAGACAGTGCAGAGGTCTCGTCCCAGCCCCAAGTCTTGTCTCCCTGCAGGACTCAGACAAAGCACAGTAGCAGCTCAGAGACAGGAATAGAAATTTCATTAAAATCTATGGACTTTAAAATCCTAGTGGTGCACGATGGACAGGGGTGGGTGGCGCACCGTTATTGCTACAGAGAATTAGAGGCGGCTCTTCCGGGGCTGTCGCTGCACAGAGGGACATGAGGATGGACACACGGACACTGCAGGGCTTGGGGAAAGGAGCTCCGGCTCCAGAGAGGGGATGGTGCACTCGGGCTGGAGCCATTTGGCACGTGATCAAGGGCAGCCCGATCTGGGAGGACTGGGCCGTTAGCCTGGTGGCGGGCGGGCAAGGGGGTGTCATGTAGGGTCCCTTCCCCTGGGCTCTGAGCTTAAACCTCCTGCTGAGCAGCACTCCACCCCTGGCCCCCAGAACGAGTGCTTTGGGCAGGCTGCTGAGTCACGGGCCTCTGCTCACGAGGCCGGGCAGCCAGGCTGCAATGAGGCTGGGGAACCCCAGAGCAGCTGAGTGAGGTGCAGGCCGGCCTGGAAGCCAGATGGGGCCTGAGGCCTGGGGCAAGGGAGTGGCAACCACAGATAAGACAGTTTTTACAAAAATAATTACACAGACAAACAGGGCTGGGTGGCACAGCCTGACAAGTAACACTGCACAGCCCCTCTCCCCTCACTCTGCCCCCAGGTAGGAAGATCCAAATTTGCCCGGGCAGAGGCTGGGATCTGCTCTGAGGGCAGGAACACTGGTCAGGAGGCTGGTGGCCCAAGGACAGGGACAGGTCGGGGCCCACCCAGAGACTCAGCTCAGGGCAGAGTGTGGGGTCATCAGAGGCCACATAAAGCACGGCAGGCCTCTGGGGATCTGGCCCGAGACCCCTTCAAAGTGCTTTAGCCCCCAACCAGCAACCCTGCCTTCTCCCTCTCCTGCTCCCCCAGCTTCCATCTTGGCATCCAAAGGACCTGTAAACACTGGGGACACGAGCACAGATGACCGCCCTAGCAGTGGTGGCCAAGGTGACCGCAGCCGCCCTGCGCAGGGCATGGCGGGGCAGGCGGTGACACCTGTCCGCTGCCTCCCCAGTCTCTGTGGCGGGAGCACAGGTGGGGCTGGGGCCCTCCCAGCAGCTGTGCTCATATCCGGGAGTCCTGCAGGCGGCTTCCGTTACTGCCCACTAGGGGGATCTGGGCCTTGTCCGGGTGCAGTGGCTGGACCTCCAGCCCGTCTTCAGGGGAGGGCAGCATGATGGGGGCGTAGCGCCCAGTCCGGTGCTCCAGGAGGGCGGGGCCCCAGTCTCGACTTGGCTTTGTGGCATTTTTCAAACGCTAGGGCAGGGGAAGGGCGGGGCAAGGCATGTCAGAGGAGAGCCCTTAAGCCCCATTCATCCACCCCTTCCCAGTTCATCTGGCTCCCCCCTCACCTGGAAGAGGGTGTCCCCTTCTGTGCGGCAGAGCTGGAACAGGGCGTAGAGTGGGATGCAAATGACGGAGGACAGCGCCATGAGGAAGCCGATGGCCACTGCCCAGCCTGGATACTGGTAGTGGTTATAGGTGATTGGCCGGTACTGGATCACCGTGAAGATGAGAATGAACTGCAGAGAGTGGGGGGTGGGAGTGGGCATGAGCCTCACCCAGCCCCACCCAGCCCTCAGGCCTCCTATCAGCACCCCCTCCCTTCCTCTCCAGTTTCCCAAGATAAAAAGAGGCATTTGGGAGAGGGCAGGGCCAATGTCATCGTTTGGGTGGTGGAAGAAGCAGATGGAACCAGGGTCCAGGGCATGACAGGCATGTACGCACGATGGAAGGGGAGAGGTCTGGCTTCTCCGTAATTCCGGTCCAGCCAGGGAACCCGTAAGCTGCTGTCACCTTTGAAGTCAGTTCTGCTCAAAGACTCCCTTCCTGGTTTTTAGGGCGTTGACTTCCTCACATCGAGACCTCAGCTTATCTTTCTGGCCACATTCCCCTTGTCTGAATGTCTCAGCTACACCCAGCATTTCCCACCCTTTTCATTTACTCTGGAGAATCCTGCACCACATCTAAGCAAATGCCACCTCCTTCAAGAAGCCGCTCCATCCCAGGCCAGTGTGGCTCAGTTGGTTGGGCGTTTTCCCGTGCACCGGAAGGTTGCGGGTTCGATTCTGGGTCAGGGCACATACCCAGGTTGTTGGTTCGATCCCCGGTTGGGGCGCTTGCAGGAAGCAACCGATCCATGTTTCTCTCATCAATGTTTCTCTCTCTCTTTCTCCCTTTCTCTCTCTAAAATCAATAAAAAAGCATATCCTTGGGTGAGGATTTTATAAATAAGTAAATAAATAAAATAAGTAGAAGCCTCTCCAGATTCCCCATCTCCTCCCCCGGAAAGGCAGTTCCCATCGGCTAAGCATTTACTTAATGGTCCCCATGGACCTGGGAGCTCCTGAGATTGCATCAGCTCTGGCTCTCCAGTGCCCAGCACATGGCCTGGCACAATCTCATTTGCTGATTTGAACTGACTTGTGCAGGGAGGTGGGAGCGTGAGGGAGAGGGAAGGCGGAGCCCTGTGGCCTGTGGACAGCCTGGGGAGGCTCTGAAGGCTGGGATGACGCGTGTCTGGCTGGGGATGCTTTGGGAAGAGGCGAGATGCAAAATGAAGCCTGGCTGCCACAGCAACAGAAAACCTAACCCAGTGGTTGGCAAACTGCGGCTCACGAGCCACATGCGGCTCTTTGGCCCCTTGAGTGTGGCTCTTCCACAAAATACCACGTGCGGGCGCGCATGTACAATGCGATTGAAACTTCGTGGCCCATGTGCAGAAGTCGGTATTTTGTGGAAGAGAGCTGCATGTGGCTCGCGAGCCGCAGTTTGCCAACCACTGACCTAAAGGAAGTGAAGAACTATGTATGGTGTCAGATGGGCACTCATTTATTTGGGTGATCACTTTGTAAAGTATATAAATATCGAATCACTATGTTGTACACATGAAACTAATGTAATATTGTATGTCAACTATAATTAAAAAATAAAACTAAAAGGAAGCAGAAAGATAATGGATGGGCCAATGGCTCATGGGCCACCCAGAGGGCCTGGGTGACGTGTGCTGCTCCCCAGCAGGGCTCAGCATTCGCCTCCTGAGCTCTCAGCTGAGCCCTAAAGCTCAGTCTCCCCCAGCCTTCCCAGTGACCAAATTCTGGAGGTCAAGACCCACATCCATTGTGAGGGCCCTTCCCGGGACACCGAACATAGTAGGAGCTTATAACAAGTTCCTGAATGAACCTAGAGCCTGATCTAGGTGTGGACAAATCCCTTAACTGAGCTGACAAAAGGATGGAGTTTGTCAAAAAGAGCTTTTCAGAAATGTATAAACAGCCCTGGCTAGTTTTTCTCAGTGGTTAGAGTGTCATCCCACAGACCAAAGGGTCTCGGTTTCGATTCTGGTCAAGGGCATGTACCTGGGTTGCAGGTTTGATCCCCGGGCAGGAGGCAACCAATCAATGTGTCTCTTTCACATCTATGTTTTTCTCTCTCTCTCCCTCCCTCCCTTCCACTCTTTCAATGGAAAAAAAAAAAAAATCCTCAGGTGAGAATTAACAAGGGAAACAACAACAAAAAAGAAATGTAAAAACATGTGTCCATAGGGCCTGGAGTCCTCACCTTATGTTTCTTCTTTTTAACATATTTTTATTGACTTTTAGAGAAGAAGGGAGAGGGAGAGCTAGAAACATCAATGAGGAGAGAGAATCATTGATCAGCTGCCTCCTTCACACCCCCACTGGGCATGTGCCCTTGACCGGAATCAAACCCGGGACCCTTCAGTCTGCAGGCTGATGCTCTATCCACTGAGCAAAACTGGCTAGAGCTACTCACCTTATATGTTAACTTCAGCCTGACTTTCTGTGCACAGAGAGGACGCTGCCCACTTTGCCTAGCTCAAAGATCCTGGACCCAGGCCGAGGCTGCCCCTATGGATCCTTTCTGTGCCCACCTCCTTCCTGCCCCCTGACCTGCCTAGGCTGGTGCTCCAGCTCTCTCCCCAGGGGGGCAGCCTCCTCAGAGCTGTGGGGGATGAGCTCCCCTCAGGCAGGGCCTGGGCCCCAGAGGGCACGGCGCTTGGCGGCAGTGCCTGCCCTCCCGGCCTCTCACCACTTACAGGAGACTTCCGCTCCTCCTGTTTCAAAGCTGGGCCAGTGGCCAGAGCTAGTGCCTGTGCCAGGCTCAGGGAAAATCCCACATCCCATGTGCTGGGGCCTCAGCCCTCAGGGGCCTTTTGTTCAGAAACATGAGCCAAAGTGAAAACCCGATGCTGAGCTCCCTGTGGCACAGAGGAGTCGGGTGTGACAGGGGCACGACTCTGGACACTGCCCTCGCCACTGGGCTGACCCCTCTGTCACTCAGAGATGGCCCTGCCTCTTCTCTGTGGAGTGACCATTACACTATCAAACCCCTTGCTCCCACTTCCCACCCTGAGCATAAAGTAGCAAAATCTAAAGGCAGTAATAACTCCTCCTGGTGGGGTGTGTAGGGTGGTGCTGGCCCAGCACGTGGACTCCAGACTGGACTACCTGCTTAGGATAGTGGCACCGCCTCTTATTGGCTGAGTAACCTTGGGTCAGCTACTTAACATCTCCGTGCCTCAGTTTCCTCATCTGTCAAGTGGGGATCATAAAGATACCTCGGAGAGTTGTAGTTCATCCTATATAATAAAAGCCTAATGTGCTAAGTGTCCGATCATCCGGTTGTCTGTTCAACCAATCAAAGTGTAATATACTAAGACCACTCAATTGCTTGCTATGATGTGCATTGAACACCAGGGGGCAGATGCTCCAACTGGTAGGTTAGCTTGCTGCTGGGGTCCAGCTGATCA